CTTTGGTTTTTTTTTTTTTTCCTTGTGGTTTGTACTAGCTAATTAACTGCACTATTGGGATTGTAATAAATGGTATGGCTATTAGTTCATGTCCTGTACTTTCTGAGCCCAAACAAACTGTGAATAGAAGGAGTAGGATAATATTGATTTACAATTTAGTGGCACACAAAATGCTAATGTGGAACTTGTTTGAACTTTTCCTTTTTGCGTTCAAATAACAAGGTCCTCCATCAGGCCCAATAATAGTTCCCTACAGTTGTAATTGTAGAGGAGCTTTTCTCTGTATTAAAATGGATTAAATCCTTAACTTGAATGTAGGGTGTTTTTTGAAGAAAAAATGGTGTCTCTAATAATTTCACAAACATGCCATGGAAGAGAGACTGAGAACTTTATTAGCACCAAGCTTCTTCTGACACGAGCCTAGAAATAACCAGCAACTGCTAAGAAACAAAAGGGAAAGGAAACTTAAAGCAATTGTTTTGCCCCAAAGGACCCTGTCAAAATTACTGGACTGTTTAGTTAGGTGATGTTTCCCAAATTCTCAAATGCCTGCAACAAATATTCTCACAACATTTATATTTTTATTTATTATAGTTATATCTCACCCTTTTTCCTTTCAAGAAATGCAAGTTGGCTTATACAATGTTCTTCTTCCCCTCAGTCTTATCCTCACAACAACAGTCCTGTGAGGTAGGCCAGGCTGAGAGCCCATGAGTCACCCAGTGAACTCCATGACTGAGCTGAACTCAGATCTTCTGAGTCCCAGTCCTTTACGCTGGGGAGTTACCGTAAAGCAACCATGCACATATCGGTGTCCTCCATGTTTTGGATTACAGATTCCGGCATTCTCGATCATAGGCCATGCTGGCTGGGCCTGATGGGAATCAATTTCCAAAATATCAGAAGGGCACCAAGTTGAGAAGTCTAACTTGAGTTGAGGAAGGTGAGCAAACCTGTGCTTAGCCAGGCTGACAGAATAATAGGCCTTTGTTGACTTTTTTAGCTTGCTGCTGCTATATTAAATTAATGCCCCATCTTTTTTTTCTCTTGCAAGAAACCTAAGGCACCTTACGTGATCCTCCCCTCTCAATCTTATCCTCACAACAAGAACCCTGTGAGGTAGGTTGGGCTAAGGAACTGTGACTGGCCAAACTTCACCTGGTGAAGTTCATGGAGAGCTTTCCTGAGTCTCAGGGAGGGCCACACTGAATCGGCTTCAGCTAGATCCCTTCACACAGACAAACTGCTCAGTTTCTCTCTCTCCCTCTGATACTTCCTTGTTTGGAAGCATGTGGATAGATGCATTTATTCTCTGCTGCAGTTTCATGTGTTCATGTGGTACCTTATGTGGCATTTTATGGTTCTCGAGGGTTTTGGCTACTGAGTTTTGGCTAATATAGAAATGTACTTAATAAAAACATGTGTGATCTGCCATCAACCAACAAAACATGGACAAATTCTGCTGTAATTTATGCAATTGCTTTCTGAAGTTGAACGAAATATTGTGAAGATAACAGCAGGCTGTGAGCTGGTGCTTCCAGACAGAGAGGACAGAGCAGCAACAGCCAAGTCACTTTGTGCAGCTGTTCCATCTCTTTTGTCTTAGCAATTTTCTCCGGTAGGAGAAAAGACAAATGAAGTGGTAAAGAAGGCACTGGAGAGTTCTGAGTGGAAGAGGAGGTCTGGAAGCACCTGGAAAATTCAGAGAACGATAAAGTGATAAAAGTCTCATCTGCAAGCACCTGAAGATGGGAAGGGTTTAGTCCCATTGAAACCAATATAATAAACTAGATGAGATTAAGTGCTACTTGGAATAATGCATGATTTGTTTTGTCAGGGTACTACCTTAAATGTTTGCGGCTTCTGTTCAGTATGAAGACACACATTATCACTTCCCTGACACTGCCCAACCTGGAGAAAGGAGGACTGCACACACGAAATTCCCTTAAGCTTGCAATATCTTAAATGCCCTTTGGAGAGCCTCCAAGATGTGAGAACCTGAGCATCCATCCTTCCATTATTAATTCATCAACTTCAGGAGCTTTTTCATTTTTGTTTTTGTAAGGATTAGCAAAAGTTTTTGCAAAGTGGCCTAAGCATTTCACTTGAGAGTCTTCAGTTCTGTATTTTCCACATTTCAACAGATTTTTAGGTCTTTATTGGGAGTTTCATTAGCAGCCTCAGTTGGCAATTACACTTTTTAATTCAGGGCATTCTAAGGCAAAGGATCTTGTGATATTCTCAGTCCAACAGAAAGCCAAAGATGCTAGGTATTTTGCGAGTACTGTTGAACTGACTTTGGAATGATGTGTGTGTAAGACAAACCAGAATAAGTAAAGTTTCGCTACACAGTAGAACATAAAGCAATTCTGTGAAGGGGGGTATTGAAAGAAAACAAAAAACAAAAACACTGTCGGGTATGTGTTGTAATGAGCAGCCTTTTGGATGTAAATTCAAATATGTTCTGTACTGGAAGAAAAATGGTGCTCAGGTGGTCTAACTGGGGGATCGAAATGATTTTCTCTGCCATTCTCCAAAAATTAATGCAGTCTTCATGTCATCAGAAATGAAATTGTGGTTGTCATCAGGGGGTAGCTGTTGGCTTAATTTTCACTTGTGCACCTGCATTTCTTACTGCTTTGAGTTTAGGCTTCTCTTTAGTAGAACCAGGCAAGTACAGCTTTTTTTTAGCGCGCGCACGCGCACACACACACACACACGTGCACATACATGCAAGAAAATAGAAGAAATTGACCTAGCTGGGTGCAGTCTGATGACTTCAGTGGAGACAAAGCAGAGAAGAATTATGATTCCTCTTGATTTGCACAGGAGGAGAGTCTGATGGTACAATCAGACAATGAATGAAAATGGCAACAGGAAAGCAACCCAGCTTTTCAAGTTTAGGGAATGTTAATTTTATTTGAAGAAATTATGATGGCATTTGAATTTGAAATCCAATTTTGACAAGATTTTTTTTCAGATGGGCAGGTTCTAAGAAACTATGTATTCATTGTATGTAAACTATATGTATTGTATTCATTTTATCTGTACAACACTTTTTAGCCTGAACAATAATTTTCTGTTCTTCTAATTCCTGTCAATAACTTTGCCTGGTTGTTGGTTTCTCATTTCATTCTCTTCTATTTTTAGCTGTATAATTGAAGTAATATCTCAGTACTGATTATAGCACAGAAAGGAGAGATTTTTGCCATCCTAGCCTTACGTCTATACTATACTTTGCTGGAGGACAAAAGCATTGAGCAATGCCAGCTCCAGGTTTTAAAGGACCCGTGGGCAAGTATGCCCTCTCCCTCTCCCTGCCTTCAGCACTATCATCCAGTTCTCTTCCTCTTCCTCCAAGGGACTTGCTTGCTGGGCAGCTAAGGGCAATGAAAAGCGGGCAATGGTGTCTGTGTCTCCTCTTTCATGCCTCCACTATTGACTGGGCATGAAATGAGAAAACAAGTAGGTTGCAGGAACTATTGTCAGAGGTCTTCTGCTAGGGTCCCCAGGCAAGCCCACCTTTGCCATTGGCTCATGTGGATATTCGCTCACCCACAAGATAACCTTGTGTTCTTCTCTGCAGATGCTAGAATGTGAATAGGGCAATGGGAGAGGAAGGGGCCTGTGTACCAACTTCCTTGGATATTTCCAAGCAAGGAAGCAAAGTGCTCAAAGCCATGAAGAGACTATAATGCTGCTTCTTATATGAACCAGTGCTTCTAACACATAAAATTCAGCCAGCCTCCCTTAGCTAAGTGCCGAAGAATAAACAATAGATTTATTCCTGCCCCCATGCCCATGGTGTGAAATGGCTGCTTGGAAGCAACTCACATAATCTGGGTAGAGCTTCACCCTGCTGTGCTTTTCAGAGGAAAAGGATGGGTATTAACACCTGGTGTTTTCACCATATGTTCACAGTAGGCATTTTGGTTTAACCTGTGGTGCTATTTTGGTGATTAAGAAGCAAACGTGGTGGGTTCTGTATGTGCGTGTGTTTTAACCATTGATTACAGGTTAAATAAAAAAACTTTCACTAACAAGGCATGCAAAAGACTGCACGTTTGCTAAAGTGAAGTTGGTTGTACACAGATTCAGGGAATCGATTCATCTACACATACCATACCTGTTTATAGCTCTAAATATATGAATAGAAAATGGATCATACAAGAGGAATCAAAATTGATTGTCTTCCATTTTAAGTAACTCCTTAGAGGAAGCTTTTACATGCTTCTCAACTTTAGTGCGCTTACATAGAATCAGTAGGTCAGATGAAGTCCATACTATTTGTAATTATTCTATGGAAAGTTCTTTCCAGTTTCATTTGACCTACAGAACCATAGCTGCAGAACCATAGTTGAAAATGCTTGGATGGTGATGAAGATGGTGATGGCGATCCCACCCATGATCAAGTCAGGTTGTTTTGGCACCTGCGGCAGCAAATCCCACAGGAGCTTTTCCCTTGGGAGTAAAAATACAACACTGATAAACTGAATAACTAAAACTGGCTGGTTTTTCAGATGCCTGCAATGGCCCATTCATTCTGCCTAAGAGTAGGCCTACCCCTCCCTCCAAAGGCTGCCCCTTAAATACATACCTCAGTACCTTATTTAAATATATCTTAGGATGTATGCAAATAAAATTTGTGCACAGACTGTGTTCTAGAACTTCATTAATACCTAGGCTGCATGATATTCTTTTTTTCCTCTTGCGAGGAACCCAAGCCAGCTTACATGAGCTTCCTCCTCTCCATTTTATCCTCACAACAACCTGTGAAATAGGTTAGACTCAGCGTCAGGGACTAGCCCAAATTCTTCCAGTGAGCTCATAGCCAAATGAGGACTGGAACTCAGATCTCCCTGGGTCCCTTCCAGCACTTGGACCTCTATGGTGCACTGGCTCTGGCCTCAAAAGTCATTATAGTAATAGATACATATTTCTGCTCATCATAGTTTATTCCTGACTCTGTGATTTTTTTCTTCTGTTTGCACGTTTTCTAGGTCCTGTCCTTGGGAGCAGATGTACTGCCGGAATACAAGCTCCAAACACCTCGCATCAACAAGTTTACTATATTGCACTACAGTCCTTTCAAGGCAGTCTGGGACTGGCTGATTTTGTTACTTGTGATCTACACTGCCATCTTCACCCCATACTCTGCAGCCTTCCTTCTGAATGACAGCGAAGAACAGAAGAGACGGGTGTGTGGCTATTCCTGCAACCCACTGAACATGGTGGACTTGATTGTGGATATTATGTTTATCATTGACATTCTCATAAACTTCCGAACAACCTATGTAAACAAGAATGAAGAAGTGGTAAGTGACCCAGCAAAAATAGCCATTCACTACTTCAAAGGCTGGTTCCTAATTGACATGGTTGCGGCAATACCTTTTGACCTCCTGATTTTTGGATCTGGCTCTGATGAGGTAAGTGAAGTATAAGAGGAATCTGTCTCTCTGTCTGTCTCTCTCTGTCTCTCTCTGTCTCTCTCTCTCTCTCTCTCTCTCTCTCTCTCTCTCTCTCTCTCTCTCTCCCCCCTCTTGCTGTCCCTTTCTTGATTTGTGTGACCACTTCATCTGTACATGCGTCGTGTTTCCTGCCAGTGAAATCTGTCAGAGGCTCACTGGTCTCCAAAAACATTAAAGGCAGCCATTGGCTCTGTTCAGGAATTAATTTCCAGCCATAGTTGCTCCCACTTCCCCTTCCCTGGCAAGCAAGGAGAGAGTAGACCCTCTTCATTTGTGACAATTGTAGAATGCTCTTTTATCTGGATGCAACAAACAGTGGTTTGCACAAATTAGGGGCAGAACCTCCAGCCTTCAGGGGCTTGTTCCCCCTCTGCAGGCCCTGCCCCACTGGCTCTGCAAAGCCCACTGCTATGGAAAGCTTGAGGAAGAGGCAGGAGAGGAATCCTCACTGTTACCCGCAATCTGTTCCTGGAGTTAACAGCTGAGATTCCCTCAGCAGCACACAAGGGATCCCCCAGCGGGAATGCCAGATAGAGGGGCGATCCAGGCACCAAGCAGAGAAGCAGAGCCAAGGGGGCCCTTCCCGTGAGGAAGTAAAGGGAACCCAACCCTTCTCAGTTTCACCTCTCCTGCATCTAACCTTTAGCTTAAAGCATGAAGCATAGCTTGCCCTCAGCTCAGGATAAAATTATAGTTTGGAATCCTAGCTTGAAGACACACTACACTGTGAAATCATAACTTTGTGAAAGCAGCATTTAGATGGGACAGAAAACTAGGTTGCTGCTCGTTAACAGCAGGCAGACACTTCTGTTCCCCATTCTGTATGTGGAAGAGGGAGATGTGCAAGCCAATGTGTGTGAGCCCTGTTCATCCCTGATTCTACAAAACGCTTATGATGGTATGACTGTAGCCATTGTTGTTTGACCTTCCAACTATCCCAAAATATAAAAAGTAGGTTCTGTGATTTAGAGAAATTATATTTTGCAGTCAACAAAGTTAATTGTACTCTCCAACAAGCCATTATTGTTATAATTCCAATCCTGTTGGTAACTCCATAAAGAGAATGATATGGGATGAGGGTTATCTTCTGAAGGTGGCTTGGACTACAGCCTCCACCCACTTTTTTTGTGAAGACCTGTAACCATAACAGAAAACAACAACATTTCTAAAAGTAATGGTAATTTCTACATGCATTGTGTTGGATCCAGACCTACTCATACTTAGCTATGACTGACTTAACTCCCATTGATTTCAATAGGTCTGTTCTAGATATGATTCAGCCTGGATCCAGTCCAATGTGGGCAACCACTTTGCTATAACATTCCAAACATCATCCAGACATAGTTTGTTTAGTGCATGAATACAAAGTTCAGTTTCTACTAGCATGTTTAGTCAGAGATACAGTATGTCTCCTTATGTTCATTAAGCTTTTTCCTAGGTAAGTACATGTAGGATTCCAGCTTTGCTGATTTAAATATAAAGGCTTGGATCCAAAGACCTATTTTGGGCAGTCTGAGTAAGGATGTTTATGTTTTTAATCTTGGAAAAGGCAGTCTTCATACTATATTAGAAAATGCCACATTCAAAACTTTTGTTCTGTTTAAAGTGGTTTGCAACAAGAGGGGGAAAACTTATGTAAAGTGTGAGAGAAGGATTGCTGTTACAGAAAGATAAGGACCAAATCTTCTTAGGCTGAGAAGAGGTTGCACATTCAGACAAAAGACTGTGCCATCATCCTCCAGCCAGCATGCCCTCTGCTGGCTTGGACTGATGGGATGTGATGCCCTAGTACAATTCAAGGGCTGGGAAGGCTGCTTTGGAAGAAGGGTGAGGGACAGATGTGATCAATAAATAAACACGATCAATTCACACCATCAGTGGCTGAGTGTGGTGAAACCTTACATGTCACAAGGCTCTGGCCCTCTTGAATGGTGTCCTTGTGTCAGATGTCTGTGCAAATCTGCTCAGGCAGTGGGACAGGGAATACATGCTCCACAGAGGGCCAAAACAGTTTTTACTTCACATCTGTGTGTAGCAGATACATGTTTAACCTATATTAGGTGCAGGGAGACCGATCCAGGTCATGCATGCCCCCTACTCCCCAAGCTATGTTCCTGACCCAGTTCAGAGACCTAATTCTAGAGGAAAAAATAAAAGAGTGTCCAACCCTATGCCTGCTTATACTCAAAAGAAGCCTCAGCTCCCAGCAGGCTTCAGCTAGCATGACTGGCCACGGCTTTGCTGGGAGATATAGGCATTTTTCCTGTCTAAACATGCATATGATTGCACCTTAAGGTGATGTCTGTTTGGGGCCCAACATTGTCAAGGGAAGCAGGCAACTCTGGTGTGGACCCTTAACTGCCACTGTTAGCTGCCTGAAGTTACAGCAAGAGGGGACAAAAGTCCCTCCAGACCTACTGGCAGATCTCTGGATGAACTGAAGTAGAGCAGCAAGGAGTTTTGACTTCCCGTCCTTTAACGACTGGAGCCGTGAAATGACTCCACCACCACTGTGAAATGATGAAGCTTGGCAGCCACCGTTCAGTTCGGGTACTCAAAAATTATTTCTGGTTGGTAGATCTCAGTGTTATTGGGCTGGGGGGAATCAAGTAGGTATCGAGGTCCTTCACTCCTAGCCAGGTCAGATCCTTTCCTGAGTGTGGACTTAGAGATGGATGTTTCTAGGGAGTGGGTGCTTTCTAAACCAGCTAGAAGTGAAAGAGTAATTTTGTTTTGTTCAGGGGTAAAAGACCTGCATGCCAAAGCATATTTCTTGAAAGATGTTTGTCAGGGCACAAGATTATGCAGGGAAAAAAGGCCTACATCTCCCCACATGTTCCAGCCAGAACACAATTCATAAAAGCATTATGGATTGGTCAGTATCACCTGCTACCTATTTAACCCATGTGGGCAAATAGAACCACAGGTTTTATTATATGTGGCCAACAGACCTCATATAGTTGACTATTTTTATTTAAAGACGCTTTTCTGAACAACCAGCCACAGTTTTATCACTATAACTTTATTTTAAATATTGTTATACTTTTATATTTTGATCTTTTCTCTTTGCCGTTCAGTTTTCCAGAATCCATGTTCAGATATGAAGCAGTTTATATATTTTTGTATAACTGCAGATAAATAAGCTGAGGATTACACTTCACACATCTCATGAAGTGGACTATAGCCTGCAAAAGCTTGTGCCGTAATGAATTTCTTTGACTTTGACGCCCACAAGACTGTTGAACTTTCTTATACAGTTAAGGAAATCCTTTCCTCTCATAATTTCTCATGGATGTGTTTTCTAGTTGTTTTTTACTCTTTGTGTAAGAGAGATCTTTGGTGGTAACCTGGATTTTACTTTTTTACTGATTATTTTTATTCCTGATCTTCTTGACCTGAGTATCTTCTTGGTGATCCCTTTGTAGTGAAAATAATAGTGCATGTAAAACATCCACAGTGTGATATTTTTTCATTAATGGCCATTTCCAGTCATGGAGGTGCCTTTGAAAGGAAACAGTGCTCCCTATTAGCTCAAGGTGTATCTATCCAGTGAAAAGACCCCTGCCAACAACCATGTCAGCCTTCCTTTCTTTTAAATGGCATCAGTTGCAAAGGCATCACCACGCATGTTTTCCAAGACTAAGAAATTCTTGACTTCCAGCTGTTTTTTAAAAATCTGGGAGGTAACTATCAAAACACTGCATGCTGCAAAATGTGTCCAGTTCTGTTTGTATATCCACTTGCTGAGCTAGGAAATAGGCAGTCTAATTCTCATCATGCATTCAGCCTTTATTTTAGAGTGACTTAAAATCACTCGTTTTTATAACGCACGGCCTGAAAGCTAGTGCAAATATTAAGTTTGTGGTAAAGATGTTAATGAGCCTCTCCAAACAATTGTAATCCTTCTCCACAACTGTGACATGTCCTAAACACCACCGCTAGTCTACTCTCACTGGGGAGAGGTACGCCATTGTAATCAGCCAGACCAGGGTTCCTGGTTTATCTATCAGACATACAGTGCCCTGTGTCCGTTTAGAAGATTTTTCCCTAGATTGACTGGGATGTTGAAATGCATAGATGGACTTGAGGACAACATGTAGCCCAGTGGAATTCAGGCTTCAGATCATCTGGAGCATGTAGCCCATTCTCTTCTTTCAAGGAACAGCTTCTAGTCCACACTGGCTTGTCTGCCACAGAATGCCTAAACAACTTAAAGAATAGGGAGCGGGGGCAGTTCTGGGGCAGAGTGGCCCCAAAGGTCATCAGGATCCATTGATAGATACCTGGATTTTGAATAGACCAGCAGCAGTTTCTGAATCACAATAATTTAACAGTCAAGAGGAGAATTCTCTGCCATTGTGTAAATCCCTTCAGTTTCAGCCTCACTGCCTCTCACCTTTGTTTGTTGAGTTGAGTAGGTCTTTATGCTACTCTGCAACAATTTTGTAATTTTGTGTTATAATCCCGGATCTGTAATAACTCAAAAGTAGACTCATCCCATGTATAGTTCTTGAGGTGCACTAAGTAATGGATTATACCTCTCGAGCCACCATTCTACAAATAGTGTGATCCCTATTACAGTGGTACCTCGGCTCACAAACGCCTTGGTTCACAACCAAATCGGGTCGCAAACAAAAATTTCATGAAAATTTTGGCTTGGGTCGCGAACTCCACATTGGGTGGCGACCAAGATCACAGCCATCTCCCCACCCCCCGAGTGGGGAGATGGCCACGACTGCAGTCACGTTCATGCAGGGAAGAGCACCCATGATCAAGCACGTCTTCCCAGCATGAATGCAACTGCGATTGTGGCCATCTCCCCACTCAGGGAGGTGAGGAGATGGCCACGATCGTGCTGGTTGCAAGTCGCGGGGGAGATGGCTGCAATCATGCTGGTTGAGGGGTGGGGAGATGACCGTGATTGTGCTGGAGGGAGATGGCCGAGATTGCGCCTGTCT